ACAAAAAATATTTAAAATTTGGTTGTGATCTAATTCCATAGTAAAATATAATTATTCAAATTTATATTAACAATGATAATTCCATTGGTATGTGATGTGACATTTTAGTTATTACCGTTGTGGTTTAGGATGTTTTAAATTTGATAAAAAATTTATGGTCTAGTCTAGTCTGGTCTTAAGTGATTTGGCAAATGTCATATTTTTGTGTATTTTTGCAATTATCGAAGTATGGTTAATATAGTCTATTTAACTCTAGTCTAATCTGAGGTTGAACGCTATATCTTTTTCTTTTCAATTCAATTGTTTTCAAACACTCCGAATTTTACTATTAATCTCTTCTCACCTAATATTTAAAATAAACCACTTATGAAAAAAAGAAGCAAAAACAAAACTTTTGTGGTGGGATGGGCCCGTTTGGTGACCACACTTTTTTTAGGTTATCATGGTTTATCAACCATTTTTTCCCATCAAACGTGTAACTCTTGATTTCACGCATTAGAATGAAGGTTTCCTACACATAGTAAATAATATATACTTCATCAGCCCGTCTTGGATGTTTTTACTTAGCGAATCTAATATCTTGATTGCATATTTACTTACACTTTATTTTGATTTTTAGATATTCAATATTGGTGTCATATGAAAGATAATAAAAAACTATGATCTTTGATATGTTTTTTGTAACAATATGAATACAAATATAAAGTTACAGCACTTAAAAAAAACATGAGATTTTATTTTGAAAGAATGACGTTAATATAACCATCTTTTCCTTTTCGCTGCCTTATCTTCAGAGAGCTGCTCCACACATCCTAAACTTCCTGTTCCAGACTTCCAGAACTCCAGAAGTGTTTGTACTCATCCCCGATGATTTCTATTTGTTCCTCCAATCAATTAAATGGAAATAAAAAACTAACCACCGTTGATACATACTGTCCACCGCCCAAACGTTGCCCACTCACACCCCTGGCCGCTTACCGGTCTTCGGCTCAAATCTGGCCATTGCTCTCCACGCGCGAACGGGAAGAACATGAAGATGGAGCCGATGATCTGGAGAAGGTCGAAGCCATGGAAACGTAAAAGGAGGAAGACAACTTCGATTAATAGAGGCGCACTTCGACCTTGGCCGTAGCAGAGATGGCCTGTGTTAACGAGAGATGAAAAGGGGCGGGTTGTTGTGGGATTGTGGGGCAGGGGGCGGGTGGGCTAGTGGGGAAGGGTGGGGGCTGTTATGGGCTGGTGGGACAGGTCTAGTGTGACACGGGAGGGGCTGGGGAGGGGATAGGTGGTAAATATGGCGGCAGTCAATGGGCAGTGCCAGTGGCATCGGGTGTGTCACTATGGCGGCGTCACTGTGGCGACATCACTGTGGGTGCCGGCAGTGACACGGGCGATGGCGGCAGCAGTTACACGAGCAATGGCGGCAGTGACATCCGATCGTGATATGAAAATTGGGCAGTAACATGAATATTTGAGTGTCACTTTATCTTAGTCACATTTTTGTCCAAATTTAAATGTGGTCACATTTTTGGAAGTTAACTTTAATTTAATAATATTAAGGGAAAAATCCCTTTTATTTTTCTTCTTTGTTTTTTTATATTTTTTTTTATTCTATGTTACGTACTTAATTTTTTTGGAATGGAATTGTAACATACGGAGTACTTTATTATAAATCTGCCATTGTCATTCGTTAATGTAGTTAATACATTACCAAATTTAATTTTTGCATTAATTCACCATTATGTCTTCATTTTAGGCAGAATTTTCCCCTCCAAATATGACGCAGAAACTGTTATTTTATATTATATAAAGATTATATAAAGATAAAGATTTCATTGTAGTTGCAAGCATTAAGTTAAAATAAAGCTGATGAGAATGAAGTCAAGCATATAGTAACTTCAAACTATTATTAATTAAGCCTAAAATTTAAAAAGTAGATATTTATGTAAACTTGAAAGTATTGAAATTTTAATTAGAAGCTGATTAAATATGGCAAAATATATTTTTCATAACATGTCGTCCTCTTTTCAAAAAGAGAGAATTTCCCAAATGGGACTAAAACTTGTTTAAAACTCCAAAGTGGGATATTAAGTTTTTTATTACCTAAATAGGACTTTTAATTACCGATCGGACAAAATTGCCCTTTCTCAGTTCCGGCTGCAACAATTCACTGGGTGCGATGAAGGTCGTTTGCGAGTTGCGATGCACGGATGAACGGCTCCCCAGGTAAGTTTCTTCCGATCTTTTTCTTGTACTTATCTCTTAATTTCTTCTCAAGCACCCTTGTTTTCTTCTTCTACATGTCTTCTACTTTCTTCTTCTTTTGGATTTCCAAGTTTTTATAATCCTGAGTAATTTATTTTTAAAAGATTCATATTATTATTCTAATCACTTCAATCTGAAAAATGACAATGTCACTTTCATGACATTACATTTGCTAAGGTGACAATTTCAAAGAAGAAAATGACATTTCCAGAGTAATAATGTCACTTTCATGACATTTTCAAAACAAAAGTGAAATTTTCAGATTGTCATCCCAGTACATAAACTGTCACAAACGTGACATTTTTTTCAAATAACCAATAATTTTGACATTCTCGGATTATAAAAGTGACATTTTACTGAATAAATAAATTCAAATCTACAGGAGGAAGAGATGTGCAGGGCTGCTACGAAGAATTCCGGTCGATGGCGAGAATGCAGCGACGAGTGCAGAAGGGTTAGAGCTATTTGGGGAAAAGGTGATTTAGGGATTAGGGGCAAAAAGGTAATGTGGAGTCCCATTTAGGAAATTTAAAACTTGAAGTCCTATTTTGAAGTTTTAACCATGTTTTAGTCCCATTTAATATAATTTCTTTTTCAAAAATGGATGGTTTTATAAAATGGATGGAAAATGTAGGCTCACTTAAAATTATAGAATTTGAAATCAAAAAGTCAATGTTATTGGGGTCCCATGTTCTTAATTAAAGTTTTCGTTGATAAAATGAAGTTACAAAAACAGAGCCGGCCTATTTCAAAAGTTTGATTCGTTTGAATTGAAAAACTATAGTTTAATAATAAAAATTAAAACCGAACATATAAATTTGTGAATAAATTAATACAAAGTTGTTTAAATTAGGCAAGTTTTAAAATTTAATAAAAATTAACACAAATTTATTAAACCGAACATTCATACATTTAATAAAAGTGACAGATTTCAAGTTTATTAGAAAAAATTATTTATGAAATTTAAAACAATAACTTATATTTTTGTATTTGCACCATGTTTTACTGCAATTTTGATAATTCACTCTTTACTAAACTGAATATAAAAGCTTAGAAGGTTAGAAAATTAATCAATCATTAACAAAAACACTTTGAAGAGTGCTTGAAGTAAATTTGACAAACTTGTTTAATCAATCATTCAATGCTACAATGTGCACGGTGCACATGTGACATCAGAGATAGCAACAAAAATATTAGTAAATCAATTATCTCTCTCCTTATTTGAATGATTTTATACAATTTTGGTAAGTTTTTCTCTGCAATATCAACCAAAATGTCAACAGCTAGATGGTCTTCTTGACATTGTGGAGAAAAAACTTATCAAAATTTTATAAAACCATCGATAATTAATTTGCTAATACTTATGTGGTTATCTCTAATGCCATATGTGCACCGTGCACATAATAACATTAGAGATGCTCTAAGTGCAATGACTACTATAAAAAATCATAATAATCTAGAAATGCATAAAAATTATTTATTCATGAGAAAATACAAGCATAGATAGGAGTAGTTCTTTTATTGTGAGAATTTATTTAGTAAAACATGTTCAAATTAAATAATTATTTAGTTTAACTATGAGCAGATTTTTTGGAATAAACTTGAAATTACTTTTTGATAGTAAAATCATCTTGAGCATAGTGTGAAGTTTTGTAACTTTTTTGTATTCATTAATTTGCCACAATCTAATCACACCTACATCAAACTCTCCTTTCAAAACACCTTTGATTGAATTTCATCAAGATCACTATTTTGACCAGCATTGTGGACGAAATCAATTACTCCGTATGATTTTTCTAATATGATTAATTTTTGTACATAGCTTTTTACAATGATTTGAATGGATGTGGTTGGTTATTTATATTCAGGAACATGTTGAATCATTGATTTAGTTCCGAAATTTCATTTTCTAATTTATGATCAAAATTACGATAAAGAGCTTATTATTGTCAGCATTAATTACAGGATTGTGCAAAACTTTCCATATACTACCAGACTACCAGTACATGCATATAGTATTCATTCATGTGTAATGCCGGTTGAAAAAAATCAACACCGTAGTAGTATTGGAAAATTTATATATGGTGGTATTGATTTCCAAATATATAGAATCTAGTAAATTATTGATTGCCTTATTGCCGCCTAAGTATAGACTCAATTTTGATGCAATAGTAATTTCCACTAATGCCCTTTAAATGGGTGAGATTTTTCCCTCCAATTGTCGTTCAAACACTGTTACTTTATACTATATAAAGATGTTATGGTACCATTTTTACCCACATTAAAAATATTTACTTTGTATATTAGTGAACCTTATATTTTTCTTGATCTCTATTTACAATACCTTTCATTCATATCTCGTATATTATCAAACATTGATCGATTTATTATATTCTGAATCAAACATCGAAAATTAGTCAAGAACTTCTTTATGAGATAAAGGGTGTATATATAAAGATAAAAAGATGCGCCTTTGATATTTGATAGTTCCAAATCTAAAGCAATACGCGGAGAGGCTAAGATGGTTCATTCGAAGACTGAACATATGGGTTCCATCACAAAATTCCACCTAAGCAATGATGTCAAGATTCCTAGTCCCCAACAGAAGTCAATGCTCTTTCTATACACTAAGCATAAATTCTCCTCACACAATTAACTCACCGCACGCTTCATATATATATATCGATCCAATGCGACTCTGAGACTATCTCATTCATATACTACCAGAAATATATAATCCATATAAGTAAAGTAGAACTAGTCTGGAACGAGAAAATGGAAGGAAGTATAGAGCTTGTTTTCATTCCCGCCCCTGGAATGGGCCACCTTCTCTCCGCCATCGAAATGGCCAAGCTCCTCCTTCAGAAACGCCGCATCAGCGATGATCTCTCTATCTCTGTATTGATGATGGAACCTTCCTTCGACTCACTTCTTGCAGCCCACGACGAACCGTCCTCCAGATTGAAGTTCGTGCTTCTCTCTGCTTCCACGACGACAGATAACACCAACAAGGCCACCTACTTCCGTTCCCTCATCGAATCTCACAAGCAAAGTGCGAGTGAAGCCGTTCGCACAATCCAGACCCGGACGGCTTCAGGCGGCACAAGGCTCGCCGGCATTGTTGTGGACATGTTTTGTACCGACATGATGGACGTGGCCGACGAGTTAGGAATCCCGGCGTACGTGTTCTACACTTCCGGCGCCGCCATGCTCGGACTCCATCTCCATCTCCAGGAGCTCAGGGATGTCCACCGGAAAGACGTCTTCGAGTTCAAGGAGTCAGACTCAGATCTGGAAGTCCCGACTTATTCCACACCTTTTCCGGTAAGGTTTCTACCGGCGAATACGCTGAACAAGACCGGCGGCGAATCCGACAGGTTTTTGGATATTGCAAAGAGAATCCGAGAGGCGAAGGGCATACTTGTCAACACGTTCCCCGAGCTTGAGCCACACGCTCTCAAAGCCCTATCCAAAGAAGAATCAAGGAAGATCCCGCCCGTGTACCCAGTGGGACCCGTACTCAACTTGCAAGGTGTAAAGAACAAAGAGTCCGACGAAGAAATATTTGAGTGGCTTAACGATCAAAAGAAGTCATCTGTGGTGTTCCTCTGCTTCGGAAGCGGCGGCAGTTTCACGGAGGAGCAAGTGAAGGAGATCGCCGACGCACTCGAGCATAGCGGGCAGAGGTTCTTGTGGGCCCTGGTGAAGCCAACGCCAAAAGATGTCGACCTCAACAAATCGAAAGACATCCTCCCAAAAGGTTTCTCAGAAAGGACTAAAGGCATCGGAAAAGTGATCACCGGATGGGCGCCGCAAGCCGCCATTCTAGCTCACGCCGCCGTGGGGGGCTTCGTGTCGCACTGCGGGTGGAATTCGACTCTAGAGAGCGTGTGGTTCGGAGTTCCCATGGCGGCTTGGCCAATTTATGCAGAGCAACAGGCGAATGCATTCCAATTGGTGACGGATATTGGAATGGCAGTGAATCTTAAATGGGATTACAAGAAAGCCCTAACATCTGAAAAACCTGCAAAGACGGTGAAAGCAAATGTGGTAGAAGCGGCAATCAGAAAGCTTATGGTCCACCCTTCTCCTACGAGGGATAGGGCTAAAGAACTTAAACAGAAGAGTAGAGAGGCTGTGCAGGAGGGTGGCTCCTCCAATGTTCTTCAGTCTTTCTTCCATGAAGTCTTTAACAACAACCTCAAAATTAAAGGAGCAAATGATGTTAAAGAGAAAACTTCTGAGTTGGTTTGGGAGGAGAGCAAAAAGCAAGTTATGGAATTAAGAGAGAATATTATGAAAGTTCATGGGGAAGTTGGTGACTTACGAGTTGCATTGCAATCTGAAATTCAAGGAAGGAGGAATTACATATTGTTGATTGCAATTGTTATGGTAGCCATGGCTATCAGGTATTACCGTGTACTATAAGAAGAGAACTACATTGTAATTGTGTGGTTCTTGTGACTACTAATTACAACTTGAAGTAACTGTGTATGATAATGTAATATGCAATTTGAATTTCTAAATTTCAATGTTTGTGTAAGTAAGTTTTATGTGTACATCATCTGTTAATGTACTTGGTAAAAAGTATCTTCCTTGAAATGTTGTTTGTGATAAAAATGAAAAGCTTTGAATGACCATGTATTTGTGAACAATATATCATTCAAGAGACATTATGGATTATTTGTCATTTTCGAAATAACATGTTTGAGTAGTTACCGTTAAACTTTGAAAATCATGGTAAACTTTAGACCATGATTTTGATTAGTATAATATTTGAAAAGTTATAAATTTTATAGTTTTTTGAAAGTGCTTTTAACAAAGAAAATTTTCATATCATTTTTATATTATAAATAATTTTCTATAAAAAATATATAATTGGTCAAATTTGAATTCGGTTGACCAAAAAATCAAAGATCGCAATTTAAAAGGACGGAGGGAGTATCATTTAAGATGATGTTATTAAATTTATAATAATTCTGGCATTTGCATCTCCATGCTACAGAGACAACATTTACTTGCTCCATGAGCCCATGTTGTTATATTCTTTTCTATTACGCCATGATTCATTGATATGTGAGAGAGATCTGTTATACCTTGAGCAATAATAGTCCAACAAAAATATACTACAATAGTAGCTCTGTACCGGTGTCACCATGAATTCACCCAAACACAGCCTTCAGATACTACTATGTTTTTATTCCCGAAATAAGACTAACATGGCAGTATTTACTGTCATCTTGTAGGCGTGTCTGCCAAATAGTTGCAGTACATTGCATTTAAAATGAAAGTATTAATTATAATTAATGACATTATTTTTCATATATGGTAGTATTTTTCATACATAGTAGTAACAACCCCTATTTCGTGAAGAAAAAATATAGTAGTCCTATTTTGGAATTTCAAACCTCATTTACTCCTATTTTGGGTAATTTCCCTTTAGTATGTTTATCTTATACCTAAAAGTACTCTACATATGACATAAATTAATATTACTGCGCTCAATTATTATTCCGCTTATTTTTTTATAACTAAAAGCACTACATATGAGAGAAAGAGTTCTCCCGCTCAATTATTAGTACGCTTATTTTGCGTTATACCTAACAACATTACTTATGGGAGAATTTTTTAGTCTGTTTATCTTATACCTAAAAAGGTTATGTATGAGAGAGAAAATTCTCCCGCTCAATTATTAATCCGCTTATCTTATGTTATACTCCGTATCTAACAGCATCACCAATGGGAGAGAATATTATTTCACTCTATTATTATTTATTAGTACACTTATATAGTTATATATATATCTTATACTCAAAAGTACTACATATGAGAGAGATAAGCTTCTCTCACTCATTTATTAGTCCGCTTATCTTATACTCTCTCGTCCCGAAAAGTTTTTTCCAAATCGACTTTTCTCGGTTAATGACAATCAACTTTGATCAATGATATTTTTTAATTCGAAATTATTTAGAATATGAAAAATATATCGAAATGTTCCTTAGCTCATTCAAAGTATTTTCATAAAATTATAAAATTTATAAAGTATATACAAATATGAGAAAAAAATCTCCCTCTCTCTTATTATTACGTTTATCTTGTTATACCTCAAAGTACTACATATGAAAACTACTATTCTCTCGCTGAATTGGTATTTCGTTTATTTTCTTATACCTAAAAGCACTACATATGCATGAGAGAAATTCTTCTTCCGCTCAATTATTAGTTCGCTTATTTTATACCTAAAAACACTATATATGACAAAAAGTTCTCTTTCTTACTTTTAACTACGTTTATCTTATAACTAAAAGTATTGTACATGTGAGAGACAAAAATTATCGCGCTCAGTTATTAGTCCGATTATCTTCTTATACCTAAAAAGATTACGTATAAGAGAGAAAGTTCTCCCGCTCAGTTATTAGTCCGCTTATCTTATACTCCGTATTATACCTAAAAACATTAGCAATGGTAGAGAATATTATTTCACTCAATTATTAGTACGCTAATATATATATATATATATATATATATATATATCTTATACTAAAAAATAATACATATGAGAGATAAGTTTCTCCACTCATTTATCGGTCCGCTTGTCATATACTCTCATGTCCTGAAAAGTGTTTTCCTAATCGACTTTTCTTTGTTAATGACAATCAACTTTGATCGATGATATTTTTAATACAAAATTAATTAGAATACGAAAGTTATATCAAAATGTTTACAATATTTTAATAAAAGTATAAAATTTATAAATTATACACAAATATGAGAAAAAATTCTCCTCTCTTATTAGTACGTTTATCTTCTTATACCTAAAAGTATTACATATGAGAGAGAAAATTCACTTGCCGAATTAGTATTTGACTTATGTTATCTTCTTATACCTAAAAGCACTACATATGAGAAAGAAAATTCACTCGTTTAATTATTAATCCGTTTATCTTATCTTATACCTATAAACATTACATATAGGAGAGAAACTTATTCCAATCAATTATTGTTTCGCTTATCTTATATCTAAAGGGCTAAAAGCACTTCATATGAGAAAAAAATTCTCACGTTTAATTATTAGTCTGGTCATCTTATCTTATACCCAAAAGTACAACATATGAGAGATAAAAAAAAATTGCTCAATAATTAGTCCGTTTCAGTTACATATAAAACTCTAAAAGTATTACATATGAGAGAAATAAGCTTCTCCCGCTCATTTATTAGTCCACTTATCTTATACTCACTTGTCTCGAAAATGTTCGCCAAATTGACTTTTGTTGATAAATGACAATCAACTTTGATAATGATATTTTTAAAACGGAATTATTTTGAATCAGCAAATTATATCAAAATGTTACTTATTCAAAAAAAAATCATAAAAGTATAAAATTCTTAATTTATATACAAATATAATAACTAAAATCATTGTTCAAAGTCAAATTCATTTTGATAATAACTTAAATTATTTATATACAAATATAAATTATAAATTTATAATATATATATATATATATATATATATATATATATTAACTAAATCTTATATACAAATATATACGGCACATGAAGTCAAATTCACTTTGATAAGAAATTATCTGATAAAGCTGATAAGTGGAAAATATAATTTACCAAATGAGAGATAAAATAGGATTGTGGCGGCTGAATCTTTTTTAATTAGAAAACACAAACTTGCAAAGTCACCCATGATTCACTTACCTTGCAAAAAAAAAAAGAAAAACTGGTGTAACTAAATTGCCGAAATAGGAGTAAAAAAGTTTGAAAATTCTAAAAAAGGACTGTAATATTTTTATTCCCAAAATAGAAGAAATTACTTACAAGTTTGGAAAATACTGTCATGTTTAAAGTCTGGTACTGCCAAAATATGGCAGTAATTAGTCCTATTTTGAGAATTAAAAACATGATAACCTATTTTGGAATATACAAACGTTTTTAGTCCTTTTTGGGCAATTCTCTTTTAAATTTTACATATGTGATATTGGTGTCATATGATATATTTTTTTGTAAAAATTGAAGAAAAAATGTAAAATTTATAATACTTTGATGTATAAAGATTTTTTACATTGGATCCCACGTTTTCCCACAACGCTACCTTTTTTGCTCTCTAATAAAGTAAACTCAGTAATAAATTCTTTCAAACAAATAAATGGTGAAGCCACGTGGCATTATGAGAGCAATTGTGTGAAGCATGGAGAGGAAGAGACGTTGTTTTAGTTTGGGGTAAAATGGTCTTTGAATGAGCTATTTATTTTTTTATATATAAATAGAATAGATTATTTGTGACAGTATCAAATTCTCAGTTTCATCCGTCAGATTTTATGCACCTCATCTATGGCTCCTGACTTTCTTCTTCCTGGATCCTTCTACACCTCAAATCGCCTGAAATCCCGTCAATCATGTCGTCGGTTACCTCTTTTGCCGCTCTTTCGATTTCTTCTACATCTAAAATTATCCCAAATGCCTAAAATCTCTTTACTCACATCATCCCGATCGATGAATTCTTCTTCTAAAATAACAACCTTAGCAAATGGATGGGGATGCTCCCTCATGCCAGATCGTTGGCGCCGCTCATTCCAATCCTCCGTCTCAGAGGTACACACTGACTGGTAATCATCTGAAACTTCTCAAATCCTGTCCATTCATATCATCCCTAGATCGACTAATTCTTCTTCAGTATGTTTCTTGGTTAAATTGACTCTTTGTTATATACTTTCTGTAGCGCCCCTCTCAGGGTTAAAGGAAACGCTACATAAACTTACTACTTTAAAAAAAACTGCAATATAACGGCCGTTTGTTTAAGAAATAACCCTGATAAAATCTCAAATATAACTAAAATATTACTCCAAATAAAACTCAATAAAATCTAGTTATCATCAGCAAATGTGATAACCACCTGGATCCAGGAATTTACTAAAACTTCAAATCCTCAAATAAAATAAAGTAATAATAATCACTTTAATATAACATCTGAAATACTAAAAAAATAATAACTAGCTAGAAGCCGCCAAGGTCGTTCCTGTTAACTCATTTCAGCACGCGTTCCACTCTCTCATCATCTTCCTAGGCCTTGGCCTTACCTTTAGTATCTGTACATGCGAAGAAAGAAAACTGATAAGCTTTACGCTTAGTAAGTCACTATGGATCCACAAAAATATCTGAGAAGTCTATGCTAATTTATCAATAGATAAATTTAGGCTATAAGCATGCACTAAACAAATGACTAACAAATAGCTTCTCAAATAAATTCTGAGAGAGATACCAAAAGAAAATATTTTCTAAAATAATTTCTCAAAATTACTGGAGAGATCTCAAAATTTCTCTCTCAAAATATCTCTGTAAAACTTTTTGAAAGAGATCTCAAAAACAACTTTCTGTAAAACTTTCTGAAAGGGATCTCATAAACTTTCTGTAAAACTCTTTGTGGCTAATTTTTAACTGTGGGCCCGTGATATGTACTCAAAGGCGCCAATCCGACAGCTCAGGGGAGCGACCCACTAAACATATCGGACTCTCTGAAACTGATAAACTGATAATCTGAGGGAACTTGTTCCCGAGTACATATCACCTGATCTTTCACTTTAAATATTAGTTCTTTTTATAGTGACGTTTGGGTAAAAAC